ATATGTATATCATGAGTGCTTTGTTGTGGTTTGTAGCTCACAGGTAGGGATATATTTAGGATTCTCATGTCAACCCCTACATAAGAATATATTCAGAGTTGTCGGATAACCAAGGCAACAAGATTCTGTGGCAGCTAGACTCCCGAGGGCTAGATACAGAAGTGACCATCTACAACCGTAGACCCCGTGTTTCCTAAAATTAGGGGGCGTGGAGTAGACAAGTGTATACACCCCTGTCTCCATCTAAAATTCCGGTTCATTCCACATTAAAACTTAATGCGTTCTAGCGTCCCAAGTAACAAAGATGGGACGTTATATACAGTGATTATCTGAAGAGGTTACCGAGAGCCACTGGCAGTGACCAATACAGGAGAACACCTCAAAATCGGCTATAAATAGTATGTACAAATATAGAGTCCTAGAATCGCATGTATAGAATCAAAATATCGCCCAACGGTGTATCTCAGGCTAATACTTGAGTCAACTTGAACAAACAACTGTAACGGGTTCGGACATGTGAAGTGTAGCGCAACGGCATACATAAGGGTTACGGGTGAGTCTTGAAGAAGTTCGGTACCAAGGATGTGTGCCAGGCACTTTCTTGTATGTGAAATCAAACACAGCGCAGAGGTGGGTTAGTCTATAACTCCGATGTCTAAATCGAGGCGATTAGATATAGTGCAATCAAGGGGCACAAACACACACACATATATATATATATATATTACGCCCACACACACACACAAATGTATACATATACACATACATATAAACATACATACATACATACATATACATACAATAATGTTTATATAAGGGGTTTGTGTAGAAGAAAGGAACTGAACATGAAGCGAAGTAGGCCAGCCAAAGGAAGGAGCTAAAGTATAGAGAAAAGGCGTTGAGTAAACGAACAAAGCAACGGATACAAAGTAGATCAGTTACTCAATTCAATAACAACCGAATTCCGAGACTACAAATCTCATCCTTATGTAAATCAGCACATTGTCTAAGCGTCAGGAATCTCTGCGGAAGGCTATCCTTTGAAACTGTACGCGCGGATGTCCAACCTCGACACTACAATATTCAAACATGTGGGCCATGCACGCTGCGTAGTATGCTGCAAGAACACTGCACTATGCCCTACACCCAGCATGTAGTCCCACGTCTCCCTTGATCGGTGCATCAGCTTTATTTAGAGTTTGAATACGTTTGTACAAATCAGAATCCTTTAAATACCAGCCACACGGCCCCTATGGTTATATCTTGCGAATCCCGGCCGGTTGTTGAGGTATTGTCTGTGCATGGGGGAGGACAGGTACGCACGGTCAGATCAGTGGCAGGCACAGCATTGGCATGACACAGCCCCCGCATTCAGGCCACAGGGCGTGCGTATGGGTATGAAGAAGTCACCAATATTAACCAATAGAAGCTCCGTTTGCTACGCTTATACTGGACTCTCATTGGTGACTTGGTGAGAATGAGCATATGGAGTGCCTTGGCCATGCCGACTGGTTAGTCAATGAGGTTGTGTGTGTGGTGGAGCACGCGAGGAGCATTGCTTGACTTCAGGGGACAAGCCAAACTTATCCTGGGTGTAGAGTTTAGAGTTTATTAGCCCCCCAACCCATCAAAGTGGTGGATATGCTCTAGCGTTGGCTTAATATATTGCACCACATGATACAGCAGCATGGCATCTGGACTGAGGAATAGACAGATCGAACGGGAATCGATCATCGCAAGAGGACCATGCGTAGTAACTACAAAGCAGCAATGCAATGGGATACGAAGAGTCCAATCGGCTTAGCATGCAAACTAGAAAGTACTCATGCACAACTCAGTAAACGTTTAAGTAACCACGCAGCGGGTACACATGTAACTGTAAACCAATTGTGTGCAGGCAAGCAACGCCTATATGAGAACACTTCGAGGGGTCGCGTTGGCTATTTGGAGAACACATACGCAAAAAAAACATGGCATTGGTGTACGTAGCAGTACATGCACATACAGACAGACCCATGCATACAAGCGCAGAGCATGTGCAATGCCACGGTTGCTGTTAGGCGCTATCCTGACACAGGACGGTCACCTACACTACATTTGGTGCCCAATACAATACATCCGCGGGAAGTAGATACCCCAACAATGATAACAGTCTAGCAATCCGTCATGCTAATACATGCCTCGAACCACACACGGGTGTATGTATATGCTGTTATCACATGTTATGTTAGTACCTTCAACAGGACCTACGTGATCCAATGGCAGCATGTACAAACATACACACAAGGATGCACGTCATACTCATCCTCACTCCACTTATATAAATAGTACGCAACGCAAACTAAACAGCAAGGTAGCACGGTAAAGAGCTGGATGCACATACGTCGACAGCGTAGACCTGTCGCTCAGAGACATGAAGCCCGAGCTCATGCCTATATTACCAGCCAGTGAGACAGCCAAAGCAACAATCGTTTGCACAGCAAGCTCCAACGGAAGGGAGGTGAACGGCTCCTCAACTAACTTTAGATATGTACGATCTGATGATGAAGGTTATGGGTAGGATAGATTTAATTACCTAAGTAGGAATTATCATTGAATGATCGTAACACTCATCTCTTTCAAACATGCGATTAACTCTCAGTTGTGTATACTGGTATGTATAACTGCGCGTGAAATACACAGCATATAGGTAAATATTTACCTCCGATCTCACACATACATACACATACTGACATATTGACATATCATAATATATATATATATATATATATATATATATATATATATATATATATATTATTATATATATATATATACTATACTATATA